GTGAGAGAGTAAAATACTGTTCATTGATATGTTGATGTGTATTTTTTTTGTTATAGAGGCTCTTTCAACACCTTTAAACCAGCAGCCACCAGGTTGCAGAGATACACCTCAGTTTTTAATGTGTGAATCTGAAACAAGTTCAATAAATATGATGCCCACATCTCTTGCCCTCATATCTACATCATCCACCCCCACTCCGTCTGTAACACCAGAGGGGGGGACATCTCAGAAAGGACTCCCTCTGTCCATACTGGTGGGAGTGCCAGTGGGAGGGACAATCCTTCTGCTTGTACTCATTGTTTTGCTAGTTATTGCCTGCTTGGGGCTCAAGTATGGTAAAAATATGCTGAAAAGAAAAACAGAGAAAGGCAAGTATACAAAAACACAAACATTAGTATCATTTTGACTTTCACTGGAATGAGCTAATAACTTCAGACCCAATTAACCATCTGTTATTCACATGCATATTTGGACACATGCACAAGTTTATTGCTGTTCAAGCATGTCTGTTTGGTGCCAGCCTGCTGTTTGTTTACGTTAAAAATATAATTGTAAGAATATAATGTTGCAATATCATATGCAGTAAATAAATGGTAGTAAGCATTGCTTGAAAAAATATTTGTAAACAGCTTGTGATGTGGTTTCATAAGCCTATGTCTCTTTTTTACAGTGTATCACTATAATGCAGACAATGGCTCAGAGTATGCATTTCCAATGAAAACGAGAGACAATAGAACAAATGAAGATGAAACAGACAAAATGGAAAGAATAGAAAATGAAGAGGCTGAAGGAGCTGAAGAGAAAGGTAAAGGGAGACGCTTGGAAGCAGTCATAATAAACGACGAGGAACACGAAACTTCAGACCTACTCACTCCCCTACCAAGCAACTTCAAATACTTCACGATTGGCTCACCCTCTCCCTCAACCATTCAGCCTTATGCAGCACTGGTCAATACATCACCAGAAGAAGCAACGAGAGGAAGGAGTGCAACTGTCAGTGGGCCGATTGGACATCATATGAACAGAAAACCAAAACTGGAAACACTAGTAAGCATGCCTGCCTTAGATGTTGCTGGAGTAAGTGACGCATTTCCTTATTTGGAAGCAACAAGCTCTGTGAACAACATATCAAGGAATCCACCACCACTCCCTCCCCCAAGGTAAGAAATGATGAAATATTAATATAATAATTCTCTAATAGATTAGAGGAGATGAGGAAGATATCACAGCCTTCACGTTTCCCACGGTAAGAATGTAAAGCAAACTCATTGTAGTAGATATGTTTACATACTTCTTTCATGTAGAGTTTCATCTGCCACAACTCGCAAAACTGCCTCACAGCAACAGTTGAATACACCAAGGTACCCTGATATTGTTAGATATGATAAATTTACAATGCTATAGAGTATCTTCGGCGAAAGTACGTAAAAGCTCTCAACCTGCCAAGCCTCAAAAACTGATGCAGTTAAAGTAAGGAGCAGCAATCAGTACATATGTGACATAATGTATTGTGACATAATGTATTGCTGTAGGGGAGAAGCAAAAAGAAAAATATCACATCCAGCAAAATTTCCAGGCAGTAATGGGTCAGTATTCAGCATTCTCTGCTCTAAGTGCTTCATTCTTTTTCCTTTAGTTTGCCTCCATCACCAAAAATGCAGAACAAAGAGAACTCAATGTCACTAACTCTGGGACCACTTCCTCTTACTCCTAATGAGAGATTGCTCCAGATTAAGAGAGACAAGTCGTTCAGTACAACAGCTCTATCAAGCCAGTCTCAAGCTACTAGAACTTCACCAAGAACAGCCCAAGAAGGAAAGAAAAGCTTTGGAAAAACAGGAGGCGAGCCTTCTCCTTACATGGAGCCGTCTCCAACTACTAAACTGAAAAGGATTACGCAGAGAAACTTAGAGAAATCACTTTCTCACGACGTCCTGACAGTGACAGGCGAATTCTCCCCAACCTTCGACAAGAAGAACCAGGTGGACGGAATGCCCTCACCTTACTTGGAACCCTCAACCACTTCACCAAAGAAACCTCGTAAGAAATTTGCCACCATTGATACAAAGGATAGGAAATTATCGGCACCACTGGATAGAAGAGGACTTAATCTCACGCCACCAGAGGTATCAAAACAAATAACGCAATATTAGTCACCAGCTATTAGCATAAATACAATGCACATTTTTATCATTGTTTACCTAATATTTTATAGGTTGCTAGTAAGAATAAAGAACCAAATACCGGACAGGTTTTATCAGGCCAGCCAGTTCCTTTAGAAGCTCCTCCTCCTGTTTCTACTGGGCCTGTCCCATCAAGGAAGATGTTAATCAGTACAACCAGTACATTAGTCGAGTTGATATCACCTACGGAGACTATCAGTGATGGCTCACCTTCAAAGGATCAATTATTCCATACTGATGAGCCACTCTGTGTGCCTGATTCAGTAAGTCAACTGTCAATATATTATAATGATATGATAGTGGAGTGAGTGCTTCTCTTTCATCAATAAACTTACTGTGTTAATAATGATTAATAATGTCAGTTATGCATTCCTTTTAGTCTGCCAGACAGCTGTGGGAGGATAGTCCAGAATTTGAAATATATTCTAAATTGGAGAGGGTAACAAGAAATATTTTTGTATAAATGTATGTCACTATAATTTTTTCTTGTAGTTTGAAGGTGCTGGACGCATGTCGGCAGCCAACAAAGAATTTAATACTCCTCCCTCGTCTACTTCAGAGCTGTACAATACTCTCTCAAATCAAAAATATAGAGAAATTATTAGAGGTCAAATTGGGTAAGTCCCTTTACAAATCATAAATTTTGTGGCTTTAGGTCTTGAAAAAATTGTTGGAAAAATTGTTAAACTTTTTGATGCATATACATATTGTGATGTTGTGTCACAAGTTTGAGCTGTTTTGGTCAAAATTGGATTTTTCATGAATTTTAAAGTTGCTCAAAAATCAGACTAAAGTCCCTGTTCAGAAACTTTGGCCAAATTTTGCCAAAAATAAAAAGGAGAGAGTTCCTTACTTTTATAATTTTTTTGATGTGTATATACATGTTTTTGTGTTGCATAAAAAGTCTGAGCTGATTTCAATCAAAATTGAATTTTTTATAAATTTTTTAAGTTGTTCAAAAATTGGGCCAAAGTCCCTGTACTATAGTACAGCGACTTTGGCAAAATTTTGCCAAAATGAAAAGGTGAGATTTCTCCTTTTTTATATTTTTTTCTGATGCATGTACATGTACTTATGTTGCGTAGAAAGTTTGAACTAATTCCGATCAAAATTGGATTTTTTTGCGAATTATTTAAAGTTGCTCTAAAAGGCTAGGAAAAAATTCTTTATTAAAAAAGCCCAAGGGAAACCAAAACAAGGCAAAACTGATGACCTTAATGAATACCTTAATTTAATCTTAAGTTTTATTTATATCTTTCTTCTCTCATAGCATTACTGGTGATTGTCTCGGTACTGGCCACTTTGCTAATGTCTACAAGGGCACATGGAATATGAAAGGAGGTAAACTCTACGTTGCAGTGAAGACACTCAAGCCTAATGCACCATATGAAGAAGAGGTCAAGTTTCTTCAGGAAGCATGTATCACTGGGCAGTTCATGCATCCAAACATAGTCCAACTTCATGGAGTAGTGACATTAGGAAAGCCGGTATGACTCTTCTCTTCTCCGATAATGATTAGTATTATTTTTTTCTCTGTAGCTTATGATTGTACTAGAGCTGATGAATAATGGAGATTTAAAAAGCTATCTCAAATATCAGAAAAAGAAGTATGTCGTTAATCTACACACACACACGGTTATATTCTCACTCTCTCTCTCTCAGTATTATTGATGAGAATATTAATCAAGAGAAACTCATCAGACAGTTTGTAATGTTTGCCCGTAGCATTGCCAGTGGGATGGACTACCTCTCACAAAAATCATTTGTTCATCGCGACCTGGCAGCCAGGAACATTTTCCTAACAAATAACTTCACTTGTAAAGTAAGGGGATCATTTTAAAATGATATATAAAAGCATTGTACATTGTATCATGGATTATTTCTTATAGATTGGTGATTTTGGAATGGCAAGAGACTTAGCAAAAGATGACTGCTATGAAGCAAGAGGCACTACAATACCACTGAAATGGACAGCACCAGAGGTGAATACAAATAAATAATAATAAATAATGGTAATTAATGGCATGCTTTTGCTTCATAGGCTGTTGATTATAGAAGATACACATCAGCCAGTGATGTATGGAGCTATGGGATGCTACTGTACGAGATATGGAGTGTTGGACACAAACCATTTTACAACTACAAGAATCACGAGGTATTAATTATGGTCACAGGTGCTAAGAGTTTTATGCTTCCTCTTAAAGGTTCTTGAATTGATTCGTAATGGGTTTTGTCAGCCTCCACCTCCTGGTTGTACTAGGGGGATATACAGACTCATGGTTAGATGCTGGTAAGAAAAAATAATACCACTACATCATGCATCACAAATACTAAGCAAATGAAGAAATGTTATAATTTTGTCATTGTATAGGAATCCAGTGGGACCCGATAGGCCATCATTCAGTGATATAGTCGAGTATCTAGCTCAGCCCGATGAAGCATTTTTACCCAATGAAGGAGAGGACGTAGGAAGACTCGGGAATGATATGGAAGAGTGGAGACATCTTCATAGTGATCTTCAAAATAGTTACACAACTTCATCAAGTTCAATAATATGAGAAAAACAAACCATGTGTTGTCATAGTTGTAACAATTACTACATATTTTTTTGTTTTTTTTTTCAATCCACTTTATATTTATTCTCTTCGTGTTTAACTAAATTTAACAATACTGAAATAATTATCCGTAACACTGTCCAACGTAACACTATGTAACGTATCGCACTGTGTAGTCAGGCACCACTTGTGACAAGGAATGACAAATTGGTAAAATTTGTCCAACATCATAAAAATTAACCACAGGCATGCTTTTCAGTCATGCATGCACACATAGCTACCTACATGCATACAAGTTCATGTTTCTTAAGAAAGGTGCTCAGCCCCTTGCCACGCCCTGACATCTGTGGACATACGTGTACATACGAGCAATACTCATTCTTATTACAGACAAACCCAATGTCAAAAAAGTTAAAATGTCCATGCAATTAAAAACGCATTGTTTTTACGTAATTGTAACTCACACTTAAAAGCTTTGCCCAATAATTAATAATGGATTAATGGTCAAATGTCAATGGTTCACATTATAATGGGGTCAGTATATTTACATGTAGTAGTACATTTAATATGAACAATTGAACAGAACCTTTTAATCTTTCAGACAGCTTTCAAAACATTTTTTGACTGTTTAAAGAGAGAGAAGAGAGACAAATGGCAGCTCCAGTATAACACCTGTCTAAGCAGTCTTAGTAGTCTTCGCCAAATAAGATCAAAACATAGATACTGTATCAAAACTTCCAAAAATTGCGCTAATTTTCCCCGCTTGCCGCGCGATGGCGGTAATTTGACCGCTAAAGTAGGTTGATTCAAATTAATTGCAATTTCTGGTGGTAATTTGTGGTAAATAGCAACCTAGAAATTATTTATATGCTCTTTGAGAGTGGTTATAACAATTAAGGGACTTTTCAAAGTTGGCATGAGTGAAAAAACAGGTGGACATTACAAACATAGCCATTCCAATCATTCCAATGCCTGGTAGTTAGAACTAGACTAATGTAATCATTTATGGGATTTTGCATTTAATAACTAACAACAATTAATTTTGCAAGTTCTGTTTCAAAAATAAATTTAGATAGACTATGTTTCAGTATTGATAGCCCCTGGGTCTATTTAATATTTAATCAACACCAATCTAGTATCATATTTATGATTTACAGTTAGACTATTGTCTGTGTGTTCGTTTGTTGTTGGTGAACCATTCAGAGTTTACTATTGTCTATAGAAACATTATTAGGTCACAAAAATTAGTAGAATCCTTACAGGGCCTGGGCAGGACAATAATGGGTGGGCTGAGTTGTAGCTCTATACTATGCATGTTTACCAGTGGAGAGCCCATTCATTCTCGGAGCCCACAGCTGAGAGAAGTCCATTGATCAATCATGAGCTCGTCATTATTCTCACCCTCACCCTCTCCTTCTCAAAACTCAACTGAAGACTACCCCTCATCATCATACAGACTCAATCCAATCCCAGCCATTGTTGCTCTACTTGTTTGCCTTGTACTGATAATTGTGGCTTTTGTTGTCCTCTTCATACTCCTGAAGAAGAAAAGGGAAAGGGTAGTGCATCTAAGGGGACCTGATATTGAAAATGAAAATTATCATCACTGTAAGTGTAATAATAATAATAGTGCTGTAATCTACTGAGCTATTTCATTTTTTTCATTTTTGTTTTTATGCAGTGACCATGACTAGAGACAATGTATTTACGAGGTTTTCTCAGAAGATCGTGAATCGTTTCAGCATCTACAGTTCACAGGGAGACACTCTCTCGAGGCAATCTGGAGGCAGATTTACTTTATCTCGTCATAGTTTTACTCGGAAATCAAAAAACCAAAATGGCTCATCTCCATCCTCCTCATCTCCTCCTGTAACTCAGGTCAAACAGAATGAGTCCATTCCTCTTCCTACACTAGTCATCAATTCAAAAGGAGATAATGGCAGATATTACGTCAATGTCACACCAAATGTCACCCCCACAAGCACCACTAGCAGCGAGAGAGGAAGCACAGCTTCGGCAATTGTGCATGAAGTTGATAACTCTGAACTTTATAAGGAGCAAAAAGAGCTTGAAAACAAAAAGAGTCCAATAATAGACAGACCATACTCTCAGCTTCAAGTAAGCTTGATGTGAATGTACAAACAACACATTTTATTTTATTCATATTTATGACACATTTTTATCCGTTGTTTTTATGATAGATTGCAGTTTATAGCGATTTCTTTGAAGAGGGAAGCATAGTCCCCACGGAACAGGAAAGAAAGACGAGTATGTGCGAGCACATAGCGGTGAGCATTATACTGATACTTATGAAATGTTTTTATTGCTTCTTTATTACAGAAATCAAGACACACGTACAATAAGCTCCAATTCTTTGAACAGACTGAGAACTTCTGGCTTCCCTCTTCGACCACTAGTGGCCTATACACTCAGCTCTCAATTAGGAAATACAGAGAAATTTCCAAAGAACAAATGAGGTAGGTGTGGGTAGGAGTATAGGCAAGGTGGCTTCCCTTTTGGCAGTCTTACCTGACTAGTATAATTGAACATAATAAGTGTTTATACCAATAGGATAGTTACAGAAAGTTTGTAGTTGTAGCGGTAATTATATCATCCTATTATGGCCATTCTTTTATTGGTCTATGGCCATAGAAAAGCTATAGTAAAGGGTGTGACACATAGCAATGTTAATTGAGTATCCCTTTTCTTTAACCCCCACTTTCTATTAGGATAAACAGTCAAATCGGGTCTGGTAACTTTGCAAAAGTCTTCCAAGGAGAGTGGCTCGCTCATGAGAGAGCTGTGACGGTAGCCATAAAGATGCTTAAGCCAGGCTCTAAGACATTCGATAAAGTCAAGTTCCTCCAAGAGGCAGCCATCATGGGCCAGTTTTGTCACCCTAACATTGTCCGTCTTCATGGAGTTGTCACGCTAGGAGAGCCCGTGAGATAAAGATCATACTATTATATTAATGTACTTAATTAAATTTCCTCTTCCCCTATAGACTATGATAGTGTTAGAGTTCTTATCAAGAGGTGATCTTCTCTCGTACCTTAGCAAGCTTCACCCATCGTAAGAAAGAGCTAGATTTATTATACCTTATTTAGACTTTACATGACCACAAATCCTATGTCATAATGAGATACATACTATTAGAAGCAGGCACATGCTCACAATGGAGCTTTATATGTACATGCACATCCTAACAAAAGAGACTCAACAATTTAATTTTTCTGTTTGTCCTCATAATACCCTCTCGGCATGTGTTTGTGTGTTCATCATTATTCACTTAGTTTATTACATTTGGATACATAATAGCCTCAACAGGCCAATAAAGAGTTCTGTGGTTCATTATATGAAAAACAACCTCCCATAGATGGAAAAGCATGACAAAATATTTCTTTATTTCTCAGACCCGATCCACGTGAACAGGACCCCTTGCAGAGACTTTTCGTCAAATTTGCACGCGAGATTGCCTCGGGTATGGAACACTTATCAAGAAAGAGATTCATACACAGAGACTTGGCTGCAAGGAACATACTGCTCAGTGAAGACCTCACTTGTAAAGTAAGAGAAATAAAAGGAAGAAAGAATGAACATATTATTATTATTTATATTATTTATTTTTAGATTGCTGATTTTGGTATGGCAAGAAATTTGCTTGACGAAGACTATTACAATTCAAAAGGTGGTAAAATTCCAGTCAAATGGACTGCACCTGAAGTAAGTAACAATACTGTGGATCCAATGACTTTATGGATTCATTAACAAACACAGGCTCTGCTGTATAAGAAGTATTCTACAGACAGTGATGTGTGGAGCTATGGTATACTGCTTTATGAGATATGGAGTCTGGGAAAGAAACCATTCCCTGATATACCAATGGAAGAGGTAATAAAAAGCGAATGATAATGATGAAAATTATTTGATGATAAATTTTGCTTGCAGATGATTTGTCAAGCTGCTGTTGGACTCTGCCATCCGCCATGCACTGGGCTACCTAGAGCCATTTACTTACTAATGGTCGACTGCTGGTAAGTCAGACTGATACACTAATCACTGATGAATGACTTTTGCACTTGGATAGGAATCCAGAGCACTCTAAAAGACCAAATTTCTCTAAAATCCAGTACTATTTAAATCAATCCGAGTCACTCCTACTACAGTGGTCTGAGGCAGATCTTTCTGTCTCTCCTCTTGTTCATGCCCTTGGATCTTCATTGGATGAGGCACAAGGATTATACAGGGACCTACAGCTCCTCTACCAGGAAGGAGAGGAAGGACTAGGAGTCTTTACAAAGGCAAGGAGCATCAACGTAAAGCATGGACGGAATAGAACTATTTCTCATTTAAAAGTCACTAGAAAACACTCTTCTCTTTAATAGATGTAAAGCTAACAATTATTGACTGTTCTTATCGTGAATTGTTTTTTGTATTTTTTTGTTGTTATTATTAATATCATCATATAAAGTTATAATTAATAGAAACAGTGACATTTATAAAAATACATATGTACGAATTTGCTAGTGCTACATGATATGAGAGAGAGAGAGAGAAAATGGCAAGAAAGAGAAAGAAAGAAAGCAAGGATGGGTGTAAGTATAGATATTTTTATGCGAAGTTTTTATTTGACTGCTCCAGCATTGCAGCCTGGTAAGTCCTTTGGAGGTCAACATAAAGATCAGTTGATACTTCAAGAGGAGCTCCTAGTCGACTGACGTCCTTACCAGCAGACAGGTCCTCCCTGCTCCACTGGAGTAGAGACTCATCAGAGTCTTTGAGGTACTCACTGATGCTCTCAAACTTAGGACGAAGGGTATGCTCGGGATTCCTAGAAAGTAAATAAAATATATGTTTTGAAAGAAAATTAAATATAAAAATATGTTTTTTAAACCTTAAGCAAATTAGTGCAGACACCATTGCCTCATTTAACAATCAAATGACGTGTCTAACCACATGCTCCAATTTTAGAACTATTCTCACCCACTCAGTCTCCCACTCTCTCTCTCCTTACCAGCAATTGACCATCAGTTGATAGACACGTCTGGAGCAACCAGGAGGGGGAGCCTGACAGTGTTTACTGTTCACTAGTGCAATTACCTTTATGAAAGAGGGAGAGAGGGTAAAAGTTTACTATTAATAGTACAGTGTTTTCAGATTGGGGTATGTTACTAAAAATAGCACAATACTTACGATTGGGTTCGAGAGATCATTGAATGGTTTATGCCCGAGACTCCATATCTCATATAAGACCATACCATAGCTCCACACGTCACTTGCTGACGTATACTTCTTAAAATTTAAAGCCTAATAATCATGATAATAATAACAAATTAATAATAACAATAATAATAATAATAATAATAATAATAATAACAAATTAATAATAATAACAATAATAATCATAATATCATTATTATTATTATTGATAATTATATTTGTGATTTAATTCAATTAAATACTTACTTCAGGTGCAGTCCATTTCAATGGGATTATTCCTCCACTCGATTTATAATAATTGCTTTCATCCTCCATCAGATCTCTTGCCATGCCAAAATCACCAATCTAAATAAATACAAAAATTGGGAAATTTCATCACAAATTTTTAAAATGAGTCTCAAATTTTCTACTTGCATCTTAAAAAACATATTTAAAAAGATTAATAATAAGTTAACTCTGGCCGTAGACTATTATCTAATGTATGACATAGCAATAGTAACAACAATTAATAATTAAAATGATGATGATATATAAGATGTATGTATACATGTGAATGAGAGTATGCTTGTGAATCAGAAGGCACACGACATACCTTGCATGTTAGGTCAGAGGCGAGGAGGACATTCCTGGCAGCAAGATCACGATGTACAAACGACTTCTGGGAAAGATAGGCCATCCCAGAGGAAATGTCCCTACAAAACCTCAGGAGGAGTTTTGGCATGTTTGTGATGTTGCTTGCCGAAAGTCTACAAAAACACATTAATGCTATAGTAAAGGGTTTAAAGTATAGGACAAAATAGGACGTAGGGACAGAAGTACTTGGAGATAATGGTAGCAGAAAGGAAGGAATACATAAGAGTAGAAGGCATGATTATTTAATAAAGCTTCTGTTTTCTGTGGGAAGTACATAATTACAATCAAACATTCCAACTCCTTATATTACAGAGAATAATTTGATAACAAGTGATCATTGCTTTTATTTGTTGTGGTTCCAAGGCGAGTCGATGGATAGTTTACTACCAATCTAATGAAATCGGTAGACAAATTTGATCCGTTAATTTGCTATAAAGTACGTAATTAATTAATTTACGCTACATCAGAACTAAAACTGTACAAGATGAACGAGAAGCTCCATATAGACTGGGTTCAACTCAATATAAGCCTCTCATAATAATACACTCATTTCATTAGAATGACACTTAGGGCAATAGGTCACGTTTTAATTGAATTAATCCTCTCTCTTTCTAGTCTTACTTTGATTTGATGCTCCTCAGATAAGCTCTCAACTCTCCCCTTGGCATGAACTCCAGTAGCATCATTACCTTATTAAGAATAAGTGTTAATAAACACAGGAGTGGCAGTGAGAGAATGTAATTCACAAGAACATCAACAGAATACAAAGAAAACACTTTAATAATTGCACAATGCAATACAACAAAGCAGAAGCAGTCACAGTTCAATACAATAACTCACTGGTTCTCCAACAGTGACTACCCCGTGAAGCTTGACAATGTTCTTATGAGTGAACTGCCCCATAATGGCTGCTTCTTGTAAAAGCTTCACACGATCTTGATCCGTGGCATCAGGTTTTAACATCTTGACAGCCACGTCATGTCTTTCATTGGCGTGAGTCCACAAGCCTTTACTGACATAGCCAAACTGACCCTCACCTAATGTGCTACTGATACTACAAGAGGGAGAGACAACAGTGCTTAGTGAAGCAAGAAATAATTAGTAATGTAAAAAGAAAAGGGGAGACAAGGGGGAGAGAAAGGGAGAGGCAGTTAGAATAGCTCTCTCACACACAAAAATACACAATAGTAACACTACAATAGCTACACACAGATAGGCACACAAATGTAACGTAGTAGGTCGTACTCACTACAGGAGTACTATAGTGTGATCACTAATACAATTAAATTTCAAAGAAACACATATTTCCCTTGGTCACAATGTAAACTGATACCATGTGTCTCAAGAGAAAGAGAGCTAATTGGCAAAGGAAACTGTCCATGTACAAAAGAATGCATACATGTATGCACTGTAGTATAATGACATCAAATACACTGTAAATGTACATGTACACACTCTGACATCAAAGCTTATTGGATACAGACACTCTCAGTGAGTGACACTATATGTATATACATTACCCAGTGACTCTAATAGTACACAGCACAGTTCACATATAAAATTACACCATTAAACTTATAATAATAATAATAATAATACATGTAATACACATTCATATGAAAGGTGTGATTGATACATATTATGCTTCCTAAGCATATAGAGCCTTCAATGACAAACTGAACTCTTACAAGAGGGCAACAAAAGATTAAAGGTTGGCTAGTACACTAGACAACAATGTAATCACTCCACTTGGCAGACTCACGCTATCTCCTTTCTGTTTATTTCCCTATATTTGTTTGATGCCAGTTGCTCATAGAGGCCAGTTGTGGTTGCTGCAGGCTTCCAAAACACTTTAGTCTGTACAAAGAAATTTAACTTGTCATACTCTTGATCCTAAGGGGAGATACAGGGAGAGAAAGAGAGAATGGGAGAGGAAAGAAATGAAAACAATAAGATCCAAACAAGTGAAAGACCACACATCAATAGTAGTAAAACAAACAGGTCATGTTTATTTTTTGAATAAATAATCCGAAGCAGATGTGATGTAGCCTTAAGGGCAAACATGAGCCAATAATCAAGGTAATGTGATGTATATAGTCTTATATTGATAGTGGTTGTATTTATATCAGTAGCTTACAGCTGGTATTTCATAACGCCAGTTGAGGAGAGTAGTCCGTTGCTCCTAAAGGTACAAACAAAGAAAAAAGAAAAAAGAATAAAGAGACAAGACAAAGTGTGAGTGTATCTTGGAATGTGTGTAGGCTGGGAAGAATGGAGTCTGTGTATGAGGGCTACCCACAAAGTAAGCATTACATTATAGTAGTAGTACATGGCTTTTGGAGCAACTTTAAAAATTTGTAAAAAATCCAAACTTGATCAGAATCAGCTCAAACTTTCTATGCAACATAAGTACATGTATATGTATCAGAAAAAATTATAAAAATGAAAACGTCTCATCTAGCCATTTTCAACAAAATTTGGCTGAAGGGCCTGTACTATAGTACAGGGACTTTGATCCAATTTTGGAGTAACTTTAAAAATTCATTAAAAATCCAAACTTAATCAGAATCAACTCAAACTTTCTATGCAACATAAGTACATGTATATGCATCAGATAAAAATATAATAATAGAGAAGCCTTTCTTTTTCAATTTTGGTAAAATTTGGTGTACTACAGTACAGGAGCTTTGTCCAAATTTTGAGCAACTTGCTAACACAAGAAAATGCATATGCATCAGAAAAATTATAATTAAAATTGTACTGGCAAGGTGCTAAGCACTATACCAAAATCCTGTGGGAAACCCTGATATGCATATCCCCATAGACAGTGTATGTTGCAATATTAGAATTGAGTGACTGATACTCACTAAGGTTGGTACATAATTATAAATGGTAGGATCACCATTGTTTGAAGGGGCTGGCTCACCAGGAGGACTCTGAAATAAAAGAATAAATGCAAGTAATGAACATGGAGAGAATTACAATATTACATACATCTAAAATGCATAGAGTACAATCAAGAGTACAATCAATGGCACAATATTATGGCAACATTGTTCTTTTCTTACTTTATCTTTAATTATTATTTTGTCATAGTTGTCCGTTACTTCAGGATCATTGCTAGAAGGGACCACACTGTCACAATCAGGTGTATCATATATCTCAATGATATTAGGGACAGCCTCAGCTGGGGGCAGGGAATAATAAGGGCCAACTGGAGGTGAAATGGGATCAACATCTCCTCCAGCATTAGGTGTCGAGTAATAATGACTTAGCCCATTTTGACTTTGAGGGGATACAATGGACTGAGAAGGCTCTGGATCATCATAGTCATTATTAATGAATCCTCCATTACCAATTGGTAGTGGATTGGTGGGTATGCCCCCGTTCTTCTCTCCTCCTCTCAAGTTTTTCAAGTCCTGAGCTCCGGCTGATGTGAAACGAGTATCGACAATGTTTGAGTCTCTCAAGGATTCCTCTATGTAGGTGTGGTGGGTCGTCATAGCAACAGGGATGCTGGGGAGTGAGGTTTGAGGGGAAGAGCTCAATAAATGTGACTTTGATATGGTTGATATGGTACCAGGGTCTAGAGAGAGAGAGAGAGGGAGAGAGAGAGTGACATACTCAAGAATTTAAAAGACAAATGGGATCACAATTGTACTAGACATTTAACAATGATTTAGTCTAGTGATTGCTAGGAGAGTAAAAACATTAATAGTGTTACTACTACTATATACATTCAATTCCCAATAGCATAACCACCAGCCACCTGTCACTCAATACCCCAGTAGTGACCATGGTTGCTATCCTATAACTGGAGGAGTAACTCCATTAGAGACCACTGTAGGTAGTAGACATATAAGGAATTCTTCTGGTGATCCTAGACAAACTTTGAACTGTGATATAGTCAACTATCACATCAGAGGGAGACACATAATTCAAAACAGGAGATAACATACAGAGTATTGAATACATGCATTGAGTGTATGAGAGCATTTAGTGTATGTGTATCTATGTATAAAGTTTTGACTGTTTGAATCAAAAAGCAACATTCATGCTTGTTATTACACAGATGTATATTATGTACTTGACGATGTACTCCTCTAGTTTCCTGTACAAATACAGCATCCTTATACAAATCTTTCCCTCCCTAATCATATAAAGGGCTCTTCATTACATACTTTACTGTCGACCTATGCGTCTTCTATTACATCTCAATACAAAAATGGTGGACGGTATGACATTAATAAAGAGCAACACAACAAAGTGTACAAACTGTGACCCAGAAATTAGTTTATCCTGTCTGGAGATTAGAGTCCGTCCAGTCAAAGCATAAACACTTACAGTGCCCATTCTGTCCTTAACACTGCCCCAGCAGCCATACAATATACCAATGGCCTTTATACTGTGTTGATTATTTGATTATTCTTAAAATAGCTGTTATCAATTAAAGCTTCTTTGTAAAGGGCCAGTCACACAACACATGTGTGTACATTCAGTAAAAGGTTAGTTTGTATAAGGGATCACATCAGTTTACTTTTTATACAAATTACAAATATACATTGGGACAATCAATTCAAACACTGCAACAGTAGATGCATATAAGCAATGCTTTACATGTATATTAATTGTGATTGAAGCTCTGATTATATACATGTATGTAATATCTATTTCAATTCACATATATAGGCTATCTTAAATGTTTATCAAAGGAATCACTGTACTACAGTTTCAGTCTATTTCTATACATGCAATATGTGTGTGTGTTTGTGATTGAAAGCTACTACACATTACTTCTAGACTGTTAGATAATGTGTGGTATTATGTGTATCATTTGTATCAGTGTAATCCAATAAGCTTTAAACATTAACTGATTTATAATACACAGTTACACACACGTCACAGTAATAACAATAATAACAAGTACCAGTGCTCCAGTGGTATTTACTATCATTCATTTACTATCACTCATTAGTCTATGACTTGAATAGGAACACTGTCTGATTTAATAATGATACAATGATAATACTAAAAATGACATTATGGAACTCTACATACCACTATCAAGATTAATAATACACTAACTATTGACTTGTGTATTAAAAAATAACACTCACTTATGTGTACTAAAATCTATACTACAATACATTAAAGCTATGCTACAATAATGAAGAGTTACTGTTAATGTTCCTTAAACAACTGGTAGGGCCCTCAGCTCATACTTACCATCATATCCAGGGTTTTCAACTGAGCCGGATACCTCAATACCGGTCTTGCTTCTACAGAGACAGCATATACATATTATGAGTGAGAGTATGATGACCAGTAACAGTAGGATCACTATTACACCAAGAACTGCAACAACTTGAATCGAGAGATCTTCAAATATACCACCACCACCATTTCCACTTCCACTGCCATCAGTTGAAGAGGAGGAAGGAGTAGCTGAAGATGTCACTGAATGAGAAGAAGAGGGAGACAGGGGAGTGAGGGAGGGAGAAGAGTAAGGAGAGGAGGGATGAGTTTCGAGTGATATTGAGATGGAGGAAGGAGGAGGAGGAGTAGCAAATGAAGACAAATCAAAAGAGAGAAGAAGAGATGAAGTTGTGAGTGTAGAGGATGGAGTAGTAGACATTAAAAGAGAAGGGAAGACTAATAGATATGACGATTAATATAAAGTAATGGAGGCATTAAACTAGTACCTGATGATAATGATGGTGGCATGAGAGTAGAAGACATTGTTGGTTCTACTGATTCTGAAGGTGGAACACATGACAATGCTTCAGTTTCATTACAATATTGTAAATTCATTCTAAGTGCTTGTATTGTATTCTCTTGAGTTGATAGAGCATTATCACTGGTAACATTTCCTAAAAAGTAACTAATCAATATTAAAATACATAATGTACACTCACTGAATGTCCAACCAATTAATGGGCTTCCTCTTGTCACTTTGGCATCACATAAAGAAAGATCACACATTCGTCCTGTTAGATTCTCCCAATAATAAATATCAATATCTTCTGCTGTGTTGTCATATATCAGACTTAACTGATTAACTGCATTTGGATCAATGTATACTCCTACTATATAGCCTGGACGTACTGGAAGAAGATACCCAATATTTACATCAAATCTTATTCTGCTGCCATCAGCACTTAAGCCACCAGCTATATCATCTCCATACATATTGCCATATATAAGATTGTAAGCATTACTCTTAACAGGATCTGGTTTTAATACTTGAAACTCAATTCCACTCCCAACAGTAACTGATGTATCACCAGTGACATGAGCAAACCAATCATCAATAAATCCAGGACAAGAGAAGGTCCATGAAGGAATGAGTAATTGTACTCCACCAGTGAATGATCCACCACCATTATTAGTTGGAGAAGGAAGAGAACGAGAGCAGTCAATAGCCACAGCACCAAAAGGGTCTGAAATAAGAATTAATAACACCAGTCAGGACATTATTATGACTTACCGTTCCCTAATAGAAAGAATAGAGAGAACCACAGAACAGGACTAGTCCTCATGATAGACACAATCAACTGAGAGCTGTACTACCAGTAGGAGCTTGATATCAATAGCCACGGGAGCCCACAGGAACTCATACATTAATGACAACAAACAAAATTACATTTTATTTATTTAGTAGTGCACTGCACCTCCTCCTATTAATAATCCTACTCCACCTCCTCTTCCCATAAAAGTGTAAACTGATATGATATATACAACAATTGTTATAATAATAATTAATAATAATATAAATACACATAAATCTATCATAGAAACCCAGTAATGATTAGAGGGAGAGAGAGAGAAAGAGAGAAAGGAGAGAGAAGAGAGAGAGAGAGAAAGAGAGAGAGAGAGAGAAAGAGAGAGAGAGAAGGTTCATTTCTTTCATTTAAGTGATGATTGATGGATCGATTGATTTGAATTATTAATTGATAAATAATAGCGAAGATCATTTGTAAACTGAAGCAAACTACGAGAGAACGAAGGCTGATCCTAATTAAAACAATAAAACAACAATAACAACAATAATAATAATGTTTATACCAACAATAAGTAAACACCAAGTGCATGGGAATGACCAATGAGCACTCATATGGAAAATTTTTCCCTTATATAATCATCCAAAACACAATAACAAGTCAAATCAGCAACCACACATATGGGAGAGTGACAGACAAACATCCATGTTGGCAGCATGGACCATTGATTAGTAATTATTATTAATGCCATAGATAGAAAGGACTGTCAGAAAACCATGGATATAGTCACACACGCATTCAAACTGCATGTACATGTCTGGCAAAGCACAAACACCTACTCACACTAAATCAATGCAAAATAAACAAGCAATGTATTGAATTAGCTTTATTTGATATTTAATGTTGATGTAGAGTAAGACCCTTTATGGCGTTAAAATACAACCACCATTCATACTATAAGAATAACATACAACCAAACACTTGATGAATGCCCTTATAAATAATAGAAATACAATATATTGTAGTACTGTTATAAGCAAAGGGCTGTTACATGATTCTAAAGGACAGTGGTCCCTCACCTGTACTACGTTATATCCCTCTACTAATCTCAACTGCTGTTCTTGTTGAAGACCGTCTATATTGCCAAGAAACTTAGAGAGGAAGTCCATATGGAAGTATATAAAGTTCTCCTCTGCTATGCCATACACACAATGAACCAGTTCCTCTTGGAGGAGGTCGTGTGACTGCTGAGTGAGGACTTGTAGGAAGAGATGAAGAAGTGGCTCACGCATCTTGGAAATAAAACAATGCTAGGGGAGAGAGAGGGGGGAGAGAGAGAGGGGGAGAGAGGGGAGAGGGAAAAGATGGAGAGAGACATCAAAGAAAATGAAAGGGATCATACTACTGAAAACAATTAATGCTCTTGTCAATTACTTTGGAGTAGAGTTTATGAGACTTATTCAAACTCCTCAGCGAGTCGAGATTATGCCTGAATATATTAATATCAGACTGAAGGAATGAGTGAGCAAATGACTACAATAAAAAAAATATAAGTACATATAACGATGTACAGTACATGCTATAGAGTTAAGATGTACACTGAACATAATCAGGCAAAATTGCCATACATGTGCAATAGTAAATATAAAAAATAACCTTCAGTGACATAGAACAATAACATAACAATATAAAGAATAATAATACATGTACAGTACATGCTATGTAAGTTAAGATGTACATACATGTAGTACATACATGTAATTAGGTACAATTGCCATACATGTACAGTAGTAAATATAAAAAATAACCTTCAGTGACAAATAGACATTGAGAGAGGAAGAGGATACATTGTAGATGGAGTGATAGACATACATGTAAACACCGACACACACATACCATAGCTACGTGTATACACACACACACACACACACACACACACACACACACACACACACACACACACACACACACTTATGCTCAGACACACTCTGAGAGGATAGACAGACATCAGTGACAACAGAGACATACCTCCATTATTGCCATAAAATCATCTTCGTGTTGGACAAATTCCCCCGACACTGTTTTCTTGGTAACAGAAGGAAAGAAATATCTATTAATTGTAAAATAAAAAAATAATAAGTATGATAAAATAGTTATTAATCAATAGTTAATTAACCTCCAGTTATTAAGTAAAAGTTGGTATAAAAGCTCGTATAGTGAATATTTGACTTCAGGTAACTCTCTCTAATAAAGAACAACATTAAAAATTTATTTTTATTAGCATAACTTACATTAACAACGATTGGATAAACTTGTTTCAATGCAAAATTAATAATATTCGGAAGAAAAGCTTTCTCACTGATGGAATAATTCTGTACCAATAATCTCAACACGTTTAAAAACCTAAAAACACAAACATAATTTATCATAAACTCAAAAGTTACTAACTTTTCTACAACTTTATTCCCAATGCTGTTCTCTTGTAATAGCGACTGCTCCAGATGCTGCCTAAATTAAAATGTGGGTGGAGTTACTGACTATAACAGCCACACCCACTTACTTGGTGAGTAATGACATGAAAGTTTGAGTGACTCTTTCAGTAAGTGAAGGACCAACTTGTGACAAGAGACCGTGAAATAATGTATAAAAGAAATTCATCAACACTTCAAGAATATCTAAAAGGAATCACAAATCAAATTAAAATGTATAATGTTATACTATTATCCCTCTCCCCCCCCCTCTCTCTCACCTGATTCATTGATGTACACATCAAATAAGCTGATGATGTTCTCCATTAAAGATTCAATGCTCTTGTACAGAATATCCTTTGATCTCTTCCTCTCGTAACTAACAGACACAATGACCTCCTGAAGTAGGGACAGTGTCTGTTTGATCTCATGCTTAGCTAAATGAATAAATAAATAAATACATAAATAAATAAAATAATAAAAAGATTATAAATGTATAACCTTCTTGAATAAGTGATTGATCCTGTCTAAAACCAGGTGAGCTGATGTATCTATTAAAGTTGAGAGTCAGTCCAGTTATAATCTTACACAATTCTTGATATCTAGCGTCCCAATTCTATGGAAAAAAAGGAGAAAGGATCCATTAGTACAAACAAGCTGAACTATCTCTTCCCTTACTTGTTCTCCATCGCTGACATTAGGCCAAGGCAGTATTAACATACCAACCAGTGCCTCGTGTAGCATAACATTAACTTTGAAAGGTAATCGCTGAAACCTTCCGACAGACAAGCACACCATTAGCTCCTGTAGCTGAGGCAGCTGAGACAGGAAATGAGGTCTAATGGTGAACGAGAGAGACATGAGGAGTCTACAGGCGGCCATTGTTATCTTCTCTGGTATCTCGTGGGATATGACGCTGACTATGATACTGATGCAGGCTGATAGTATGTACTGGAAGACATCTTGTCTCTGCTCTCCTCTAAGAGAAGCTAAATAATACTTGGATAGCCAGTGCTGGTAGGCTTGAAGGGTACCCAAGGACTGAGCATGTCTACAAGAAAGAAGACCAGAAGTTTAATTATAAAAAATTTATATTGAATAAAACAAAACAAGATGTTTTAACTAAAACATCAATCAATCAAACATCAATTTAAAAGTGTAGATTTAGCTTACAGTTCGATGAAGTCGTGTTCGAGAATAAGAGGAGCAGGAGACTCGAGGTTAAAAAGAAGATGCTCTGAACTAAACTGAGCTATAAGTATAAACCTAAAAACGAGAATATCCTGAAAGCGTACAGAGTTATACTGAGACAACAAACTCACTGATTAACAATCTGTTGGGCTTTTGGTAGCCTCTCATTGAATCGGTCACAAGAGAAATGCTCGGCAATCCTTCCTAGAGCCTGCAGTACTGAAGTGAGGTCCTTTAGTGTCGCATGTAAAGAACCTAACTGGACACCTTCTGATACCGCCAAAACATGCTCTAAAATGGGCATTAAATAGATATATGTATATCAAGATTAATTAGAAATGTGGACATTAGCAAATTTGGAAACAACTTTTAAAATTCATAAAAAATCTAAACCTGAGCAGAATCAGCTCAAACTTGCTACACAACATGAGAACATGTATATGTATCAGAAAAAATTGTAAAAATGTAGGATTCTCTCCTAGTCAAATTTGGCAAAATTTGGCCAAGAACCCTGTACTATAGTACAGGGAATTTGGTCCAATTTTGGAGCAACTTTTAAAATTCGTAAAAAATCCAATTTTGATTGAAATTAACTCAAATTTGGCCAATGACCCTGTACTATAGTACAGGGAATTTGGTCCAATTTCGAAGTAACTTTAAAAATTCGTAAAAAATCCAATTTTGATCGGAATTAACTCAAACTTTTCACACAGCATAAGAAGATCCATATGCACCATAAAAAATTATAAAAATGGAGAATTCTCTCCCAGTCATTTTTGGCAAAATTTGGCCAATGACCCTATACTATAATAGCACAGGGAATTTGGCCCAATTTTGGAGCAACTTACATGTACATCAAAAAAAATAATATACATGTAAAAAAGGAATACCTTTTCTAGGTCCTTCAACAATAAGTTGCGAGAGACTCAGATACACCTGTGAATACTGATCCAGTAGAGGAACCTACGGCACAAACAACAAAACTCACAAATACTCACTCAACACTCACTATCATCTCGAATGTCTCCATTGGAAAAAGTTGAGCAACTTTACCGACAAATTCCAGGGACTTTCGTAAGAAGCTCTGCCACTCTGTTTCATCCTATGGAGAACATTAGAATTGATATCAAACTACAAGTCACGTGAGAGTGTCAAGATATCCCATGGCTAACGTCATTTATTGTATCGTCGTCAATTTCTTGCAACTCGTCCATGTTGTGATGCAACTGGATCTTCTTCAAGACACTGTCAGCCATCGATAGCAACACACTCTTGTATCTGAGAAGAAAATTAATAATTAGGATGTTATTTTTGTTGTTGTTTATTTCATTACTATTTTCTTGTACCTCTCATAATGTTTTGAAGTGTGTGTCGCAATGTCTGCCCCATTATCTTCAGCCATGAGTATCAGGTGATCAAGGAAGGTGCCCCAGGTGTCCAGGCAGACACAGAAGGAGTCAATCTCTGGCTGCTTGAAGGTGTAAGTGTGAAACAAAGAGAGGAACTCAAGGACAGGGAAGTTTGGATTGAACTCGACTCTCTTGAGATGAGAGGACACAAACCAGTAAAATAAATCACCACATTTTGATATGTACCTAGAACAAAAATACTAATAATACCACATTTAAAAAAAAACAACTCATTTTATGACTATTTACATGCACACTGGATTCATTAGACCATAACAAACAAATTGCCTTAATGACGGTTGATAAGTACATACTCAAGAAAGCACTAGTTATACTTGTGTACATGTATTGCGATTTTTTAAATTCATACATGTACAGTACACGTACAACATGTACCTGTCGTCAAGCCTTGAGAAGTCTTTTTTCTTTCCTCCCTCCTCACTAGTGAGTCTGTGTAATAGAGAAAAAGACTGATCAAAGAACTTCATAAGGAAAGACTCAAAATCCCTCGGGACACAGTTCTTGATGAGCAGCTCATTTACACAGTCCATTGCTAAAGAACCAAGAACACTACCACAGTCGTCTTGCTCTGGGTCACTATGACAGCCAAGATAAGCATACTGGAAAATGACTTCAATAATGGCCGGAGTGATGAGAGAAGAAAGAGGAACCCATGTGAACATGTGCCCTAGGCAACGGAACGCTTGCTCACAGACCTCCACTGGAAGTTGCAGTGAGCCACCACCTACTACAGAAAGATTCTGTGGATGAGGTTCAAGAGCAGAATTTAATATATCAACGAGTGTGTGTAGCAGTAGTGGAGCGTGCTGAGACATTAGAGAGAGGAGCTCATCTCGACGCGAGGAGAGAAGGAGAGAGGACTTGGGAGTGGCTAGTTCTTGTGATATTGTAGTGAGGAAGAGTAAACCAATAAGGAGTGTGCCTTCTTGTTTAGTAAACTATTAAGAAGAGGAAGAAAGGTTTAAGAGGAGGAGAGAGAAGTAAAGAAAGACAAACTTGATACACAACATACATGTAAGTACATGCATATCAGACAAAAAATTAGAGAATTCTCTCCTAGCCATTTTTGGCAAAATTTGGCCAAAGACCCAAGGCTACAATAGCCTTTGGTCATTGGTCCAATTTTTGAGCAACTTCTAAAAAATTATAAAAAACCCAAATTTGATTGGAATCAGCTCAAACTTGGTACACAACATAAGGACATGTATATGTATCAGAAAAAATTATAAAAATGGAGAATTCTCTCCTAGCCATTTTTGGCAAAATTTGACCAAAGGCTATAGCCTTTGGTCATTGGCCTAATTTTTGAGCAACTTTAAAAAATTCATAAAAAATCCAACTTTGATCGGAATCACCTCAAAGTTTCTATGCAAGATAAGAACATGTATATGCATCAGAAAAAATTATAAAAATGAAGAACTCTCTCCTTGCAATTTTTGTCAAAATACCCTATGCTATAAAAATACAGGTCTTTTTGACCCAATTTTTGAGCAACTTGACAATCTACTGATGAGAAGCCACATGGGTGCATGCAGGGAAACCTGCTGGTATCATCATTACTATCATCATTACATATTGATTAGTCACTAACGAATGCCCCTAGCTAAAGCACATTATTTGATTCATTTACTTACTTGTATTGCATGATCAAGGAAGTCGGGATAATTGTGAGGCCAATCTTTACGACCAATCAATACTATCACATGTATCAGTTTATTACGTATGAAGGATGAGACTCCTCCCCCTCCTGACGACGAAGTTCTTATTAAAAACTGGGTCAGGAACTGGCGAAGCTCTAACTTGCATGAAGAGTCTAACACGTCCCACCTATGAGTGATGAAATTCTAAGGAAAAAAGAAAGGGGGAGAGAGACAGAAAGAGAAGTCACATAGTAAAATTTTGAATCACATAAAAAAGACGGCAGGGGTGTGGCTAAATTTAAAAAACTAAACCATAATCTCAACACTAATCTAAAACTAGGAAAGTGTGTCATGCTTCTTCTGATGCTAACTTTACAAATTTTTGATCACATAAAAAAGACAGCAGTGCGGAAGAGGTGTGACTACATTTTAAAGACAAATCCTTAGTCCCAAGACTAATCTAAAACTAGAAAAGTGTGCCATATCTCTTCTGATGCTGTCTTCTTTTTGTGACCCAAATTTTTGTATAAATCTAAAAGGCATTATATAAATGGAATGACACTGTCTCACCTCTATGACATGTAGTGCATACATCAGTACGTAGTCATTGCTAGAGTTTTGTAGAAAGAATACGCAATATCTCCAGACATCTTCCTGACAGCTAAAGACATCAAGGATTTTATCTAAAGACAGGATAAAACATTGGTTTACATGTCAGTTAATATATACTGATTTCCAGTCTTTCTTCATTCGTGCAGTGTGGAGAAAAGTGCCTCGTTAGTAGACCATCTAACTCCCTAAGAGTCGACTCCATTAAACGAGAGAGAGAGATAGTGAAAGTTGAAGAGATGATGTCAGTGTTCAGCGCATCCTCCCGAGGCCAGCCACCATTCCAACACGCGCGAGAGCACAAAGAGTTAAAAATAGTAAGCCCAGCCCCTTTTGATTAAATTTTAATTTCGGGCCAAATTTTTCTAAATGTTGTGAAGCAGTTTCGTTGTATTGTGTTCCATTGTATTTTTATTGTCATTGCTAATATGAATAAAATTTGATTGCATGTATAAAGCGTGAATAGTACATATGCCATTGGGAATGAGAATTACACAAGACTGTGTGTGAGAGAGTGTGACTAGTTTTCTTCTGACGTCCTGTAAAATATGAATGCCGAGAGAAGTCCTGTTAGTGTGAAGCTTTGTAGAAGATACAGCAAGAAAATAACCTACAAATACATATAAATATGTATAAAATGATGATAAAGCAAGCGAACAGCTGGTACCTTTTCTTTGAAATAAGGTGAGGCGTAATGTTTCTTAGAAGATTCCTGAGGATTCTCTTTTACAAATATCTCGTCCTCGTCCTCAGTATCTGAGGATGGGTGATCTAATTTACGATACTTGACTGGAGGATTAATAACTGGGAGAGAGAGAGAGAGAGAGAAGAAATTAAAAAGACATACACGTAGCTTCTATGAACAAACAAATAGGAAAATAAAGAGAGACATGGCTTCCGTGAACAAACGTTATTTATGATTTCCTGATTAAATTTTAGTGTAATCTGTATGTACTCTACCTGTGCATTTTGATCTGTACTGTCTCAATTCCAAAAAGAGAACAATCAATAAAAAGAGAAGGAGAGCAGTAGAAAGCAACGAGTACATCCACAGCAGAGCCATCTTGTGCTCCTTATGTATATACCATGTGCCCCAGAATAAGGCAATAGCTACAGAGTAAAGGGATGATGCAAAATACAATAATGATATTTTGTAACTCAGAAATAATAAATGCCACTTACTTCCTAGCAGTAGAATAGTAACTGCATTTAGTCTGTGAAAGAAAGTAAAAAGCTTTCTCCTATTAGTATACAAGAAGGCAAGAGAGAGAGAGAGAGGACTTTAAAAAATAAGAAATGATACAAGTACTAACTTGAGAGATTTGCCAGCGTGAGGTCTAAAGACAGCTATAAAAGCCTATAAGGTTTTAATATTTAATAAGTTCATACAAATCTTGTTATTGTTACCTGGATGACAGAGAATCCAATAGCAATGATACCAATCAACTGGTGAGGTCCCTAAAACAACAATGATATCAATAATAACAACTTCATGATTATAATAAATAATCAACGAGTAGA